GAGTCCCCCTCATATCTACCTGCCTCAAGGTTGCAGATTGCAACCTATTGCTCGAAAAAATCACAGTAAGAATTTAACATTGGTCCTCTAAGAGCCTATCATATGCTGGAAGACTCGTACTCATCAAATCTGTACTCCTAACCATCCAATTGTATTGGTCTAGCATTTTCATACTGCCCAAAAAAGTGATTAATGGCCTCTCTGTCTTACTTAGGTGGTTCCTTTGGACTCGCCATGAGCTAGGGTCAAATAGTGCAATGTGCAAACATATCACTGTTGGTGGCTTAGGCCTACCCAATCATGAAGTTGCAAATAAAGTAACAATTCTCAAGCAAATTTGGAAACTCAAGCAGTAAAGGTCTCACCAACAGCAATGGTGAGTGACTTCATTATAGACAACACATGGTCCTTCCCCCCACTCCTTTCCTCCACAGTCCCTAACCTAAATAACCCCCCATACCCTCCCAATCTCTCCTTACCAGACACAATCACTTGGACAGTAGGCCCTACAGGAAAATACAACCTAAAGCACTAGACACAATCACTTGGACAGTAGGCCCTACTGGAAAATACAGCCTAAAGCACACTATAACAGTCATATCCTAACTATACAATCCAGTGCCATGGTCGAAACTTGTTTGGAACTCCTTAGCCATCCCCAAACAGAAAATAATCCCATGGATCGCGGTCCAGTCCAAGCTCCCCACCCTTGATTCTAAATGCATGTTATACCTTGACTTTGACAATGTCTGCCACCTTTTCTCCTCTATGCCTGAAACACACTCTTATCTCTTCTTTGATTGCGAATTCGTCTATCTAATTTGGAGATTCATACAAGACAAATGTAGATTCTACACAAGAAGCAACAATTGGCCCCAATTCGTCAATTGGGCTGCTCACCACTGGAATCAAGCTAACCCTAAAATTTTTGTGTCCCAACTCACCTTAGCCTCCATAGTGTATCACATATGGCAAGAAAGAAACAATAAGGTCTTCAGGAATTCCGCTTCCTCACAATCATCTGTATTGAATCAAATCTGTAATTCCACTGCTGAAGCTTTGCGATCCCGTCATAATGGGGAATTCTCACAACTAGCAATAAAATGGACCTATCCCCGAGCCATACCACCACTGATGCCTCCAGATTCGTAGACAGAGGAAGTATGCCTTAGCGTGGTTGAAGACAACCTTGTCACTGTTATTTTTGTAGGGATATCCATTTCTAACAGCTATGGTTGTTAGCAACGGCTATCCTCCTCAATTTGGTTTGGGGTCTTTTGCCTTTGTTTAGGCTTCCTGGTTCGGGGTCTTTTGCCCTTATTCGGTTGAGCCCCTGGGCTTGTTATTTTCTTGCACTGTAAATGTTTCCCCATTGGGCACAAATGTATTTCTTTAAATCATTAATATATTTGCTTTATTATTCGGAAAAAAAGAAGAAGTTATTATCCTTGAAAACTCACTAGCCAACTTGAACCGGTTCAAGGTCTTCAGATTTTTATGGTAACTTTGCTTTTTGGTTTGTTTTGATTCCTGTTTGGGGTAGACTTCCTCTATATTGTGTACACACGAAATTGACTTGGTTTCCAAGTATTTTTAGGTCTTCCAAACTTTCATATAATCTCTTTTTTACTCAAAATTAAGTACGGCTTTTTGGAACAAAAATTCGTTATTTTGAAAGGGCTTTTTTTAGAGATATTTTTCAAAAAATCAAATCTGATTTTTCTGTTTTTGTTTTGAGAGAACACACATATATACACGAGTGATTTAGGAATGGTGTACTCTATCTCATCGGAATTGGAGTATTGAAGATTCAGAAATTCTAAGAAGCATGTTTTATCATTCTTTTACAATAAATTCAGATTCAAAGAAGAAGATATTTCGATCACACTTTGAAGGGATCAATGCACTTGCGGAGTACTGTTGTTGATCTAACAGTAATCATTTTACAAGGTTCGAGACATAAGTCTGAAGTCGAGAGCTGCTGGACGGGAAGTCGCAAAGCCGGTGGTGTTCAACGGATTGGGTCTTGGTAAAGTGAAGGCGTATGAGTCTGAGTCAAAGTTAGTGTACTTTACTTCATACACAGTGGATCGTTTTACGCTTGGGATAGTGCACAAAACCTCGGGGTTTTCTAATTGGTTTCCTTGCTAAAATTCTGGTGTCATCTCTCTACTTTATTTGCATTACTTTTCAATATTTAGTTTTGCGATTGTGTATGTTTAATTGATCATATTCGTACGTAAGTTAATTAATCACAAAAATTTAACAAGTTGACCTAATAATCTCATCTAAGTCGATCATTTAAAGTATTCAATCACAATTAAATCAACTAACAGTATTCGCATAGCGTAACTCACACAAATTTATATCTCACATTTATGAGTTATAATGTTGGTGGAATTTTGATGATATTATATACAAGATGAAGGAATAATCCCTCCATTGCTCCCTCTCCGAGGTCGACTTCCTTCCGTCTTTATTAGTTCTGTCATTGTATCTTATGGTATTTTCAGTTTATTTATTATAATCGGTGAAGTAACTAATAGTTTGTACTACGAGAGCTGAGTAACTGTAAATATCTTACATGGCTCAACATTTTATTGATCCATATCTTCTCCTTTAGTACTTGGGAATCTTTGCTTTACAAGCAAATCACATTTGGCACACACCACGCAATAATCTGAACTCACACACCTGCCGACATATATATTAGTACAAAAGTCAAAAAATTTCCTTTAGGTATACTTTAATGGCCTTTTGCCCTTAATATCTTTTTTCTTTTCAAAAGCTAGATTATGCTACAAATATTGCTTACATACATGGGACTAAGATATTTATCTGAATAACATGCATTTTCAATTAGCTAGTTTAGCACTAACTGTAACAAAGTGCATGTGTATGTGTTTGGACTTAATTCGAGTGATGTATATGTGATGTTACATTCATAGATGTCGTGGTTAAATATATATATATACATGGAGTATTCAATTTTACACTGAATTTAGTGAAACGTACAAAACCTTCATGCATTGCAATTACCTATTCCTAAAGCTCCATTACAAGCATTGAGTGTGTGTATCAAATATAATCAATATATATTTTGGATATTGCTTTATCTTTCATTCTTATCCACTGTGAATTGGTGGAGGATTAATTGAGTGCTCTAGCTTTTCATTCAAATAGCTGTAGGTGTCATATATTCCTTTCTAATTTTAAAGAATCTCTTTGAAATCCAAAATAAAAAAGTTCTTACCAAATGAGGTGAAAGGAGAACGTTGAATTAGTGGTGGCACATGGGAAAAGGCTGAATGGACAGATGATATAATATATGCAAGGATTGATGCCGACACTTTTTACATACGTATATATGTATATCAAATTTCATAATTACAGGACTTATTTTGCAAATTTTTTTTATTTCATGTATTTGTTATCAATAGGTGAAAACATGAACACATGATTGAAATATGTTTGGTAATGTTTGCAACCTCTTTTTACATAAATGCATAAAAAACTGCTTTGTTATATACCAACTGTGTTAAAAAAAAAAAAAAAAAAAACCCTGACATTCAAGAAACTTTTTAAAATTTAGCAAATAAAAAATAATAATTTAAAAACTGAAATACATAAAATGCCCTTATAGGAAAATAATAAATAAATAAATAACACTTATTTTTTGAGGTTTTTATTAAGGATATTTTAGGATTTTTATATTTGCAAAATTGATGATCATGGTCAATTTGCACAAATTTTAAAATGTTAGGTATTTATATGCTTATGCTAAATTGGAGGGGTATTTTTTTTTTCACATTTTTTATATAACATGATTATTTTTGCACTTTACCCTATGTTTATTAATAGAAAAAAAGGGGGGCCAAAATTTGAAAAAAGAAAATTAGTTTCACCTCTTTTACTACTGCATATAGATTTCTTTCTTTTTACAAAAAAAAATCCTATACAATATAACTACAATTTTTTTTTTACAAACATTCAACCATAAAGTGGGTGTGTATGAACATGTGCACAAAAGTTCATAGACACTCACACACAAAATATATATCCAAAAGAAAAAAAAAAAAAAAAAACACACGTAAAAGGAAAAAGCAAACATCAATCAGTGCATGCTTCCGAAAAAGAAAAAAAAAAATCAGGTGCATGCTGAGTAATCATGACAGATGTTGTGTACTCATTTATTTATTTATTTATTTATTTATTTATTATTTGTTTTTTTTATCATTCAATGTAATGCATACATGTTTATGTACTATGTAGGCCTATGAAGCACGGACACTCCTCCCAGGGTCTCGTATCAGTGTCGGACACTTTTCAGACACCGACACCCGTGTTCGAGGCTCGGATACGTGTTCGACACTTCTGTGAAGTGTCCAAATATTATTTTTTATTGGACACGCGTGTCCGAGGCTCGGACACACGGTCCAACACTTGTGTGAGACAAAATTTATTTTCTCTCACTCCTCTCTCAGTCTCTCATCTTCTTCAATTCTCTCTACATGAACAAAATATATATATATATATATATATATATATATATATATAAGTTACATGAACAAGATTTTGTGAAAGACTGAAAGTATATATGTTTATTCATATACCTATTTAGTTCATTATAACTATGTCTCTTCTGCACATCTTCGTTTGGAATTTGGATCAACTTTATTTTTCATTTATTTTTTGTTTTGTCTTATCTATATTTTTCTTATAACAAAAATGAAATTATTGAAATTGATTCTATTCTTTGTTATTGTTTTATTTATCTGTACAAGATTCTAATAATTATATTTTGAATATATATATATATATATATATATATATATATATATATATATATATATAATTTTATAGGCGTATCCCCGTCGCGTTCATGTCTTATTTTTTAAAAATTTACCATATGGTCCTATTCGTGTCGTGTCGTACTGGTGTCCCTGCTTCATATAGGCATATTCCTTCGTAATCAACCTTATATAAAGCAGCCACGCTATGCATGTATCAACTACCAAACACGTCCTCTCTTTGCATTCCAAACCCTCTCTCTCTCTCTCTCTCTCTCTCATCCTTGAGTTTGCAACTTCTCTCTCTAAGATGGAGCGTTCTGCGCGTTTGTTTTCTACTGTTTTTATTGTGATGCTACTTCTCGTAGCCACTGGTTCTCTCTCTCTCTCTCTTTCTTACTTTAGCCTGTGTTATTGCTAAAAAAATGGGGCATATATATAAGTCTTGTAAATTAAACAAATTTATTGAGTTTAATTAATTCTTATTTACAATTGCACATATGTAATACTAATTAAATTAAGCAAGTATATAGTTTGATTTAATTATTTGATTGGTGATGCATGTGTTAATTACAGAGATAGGTCCAATGGTTGCGGAAGGCAGGACATGCGAGTCTCAGAGCCACCGCTTCAAGGGAACATGCCTGAGGAAGAGCAACTGCGCCACTGTGTGCCAGACCGAGGGATTCCATGGTGGACACTGCAGGGGTTTCCGTCGTCGTTGCTTCTGCTCCAAACACTGCTAGTTAACTACCTGGCCAGTGCATGTGATCAAATGATGATTTCTCTCTCTCTCTCTCTCTATATATATATATATATGTCTGTCTTTCACTACTTGTGTGTCCAAATAATAACAATAATTCTGTCTTAAGTATGGCTTCTCTGCTTATTGTTTTTGATGGTTATCTTATGTAATATGTCACATTGTAGCGTTTTTTTCTTTGATGAATATGGTTTTTATAATCTTACTACTATAAATCTCTCCCTCTCTTTGTCTCTCTGTGTATGACATACACACAATTTTGTTTTGCAGTAGTCAAACGCAAAACAGAATACTAACAAGTAGCCCAATCAAAACTTGGAAAATAATCTTATATGAACAGCCCAGCCCATGAAACCAGAGTCACCATTATCAATGCCGATGACCAAAGAAAATTCTTTTGTTTTTTACTAAGCAATTCAACAGCCAAGGTTTATTACAGAGGTTAGTACAAAAATTAAGAAACAGTGATCACTCGCTACTTTATTTCATCATAAAAAAAAATAATAATAATAAAAAGAGGAAAAGTAAAATTAAGCATAAAATAGTAAAATAAAACCTTAAATATATTTAACAGAATTCGAGAGGACATCACTATGCATGATTTATAAATTGGCTAGTGATCTCTTGTAATTAAGGATTAGATGGAAGCAAATGAATTAAATTTATTATAAAACGTGTTAGGTAAAACATCAAATTTATAATAGAACAGAGTAGGGTGGAAGAAACTTTCCCCATGTCATTTTCATATCACTGTCTTTTAATATTTATGAAAGTACATCCATAAATTTGATACATGCCATATTTCACTATATATCACTAGCTATTTCTAACTAATTAAGCAATTCAGTATTACAACGATTTTAATACAAAAGTTATGAAACAGTAACCACTAGCTGTTTTATTTCACCCACCACGAAAGAAAGAAGGTAGGGAAAAAAAAGGGGGTAAAATTAAGCAAAGGACAACAATATAATAAGATCCCAAAATTCAAGAGATCAGCTCCTACAGAATGAGAGAGGACATTGATAATGCATCATTAGGTAAAGTCTTGAGGCATTTTAGGCATTAGATCAGCTGCTTATTTTATTCTATACCAAACATCTTCTTGAACTCCAACACAAAGCCATAGACCTTGTGAGGGTGAGGAAGAGACTTTGACACACTTTCTCTCTCCATGCATCTCTTAGCCCATGCGACAAGAACAGGACACTCTGCCTCAATACTGAAGTTTCCACAACTTTCATAGGAATAGAACCAGCTATAGAAAGGAACAAGCGCAACGTCCACCAACCCAATGGTCTCACCCCCAAAGTAGGGCTTATTTCCAAGCTCCTCTTCCAATGTCTTCAAGCATTCAACAAACTCCTCCTTTGCACCCTCTTGCTCTTTTCTTTTTCCCATCCACACCCTCTTCCAATGTCTTCAAGCATTCAACAAACTCCTCCTTTGCACCCTCTTGCTCTTTTCTTTTTCCCATCCACACCCTCTTCCTAATACTGTATATCTGTATAAATTCGAAAATCATTTAGAATTTGATAGTCCGACAATTCTGATCGTTTTGACGTGAGTGGTGAGCGTGGGCCCGCCACTAACATTCCCAATCATGGTTCATTAATTCTATACGTGTATATATGTGGATTATGTATGTGTGCATCTATTTATATGAGATGAAAGAGTAAATTTTGGTTATTTACCTTCTTGTCAATGTAATCAGCCCAAAACTTGGCTTGTGATCTTTTGTAGGGATCAGAGGGGAGCAAAGGAGACTTGTCATGCCATACTTCATCAATGTAGTTGAGGATGATGAGAGATTCAGTGATGGGTTTGCCATTATGAATCAGAACTGGAATCATTTTCTGAACCGGGTTCATTTCTAGAAGCAAAGAACTCTTGTCTCGCAAGTTCTCTTCTCGAGCTTCATATTTGATCCCCTTCTCAGCCAATGCAATTCTCACTCTCATCCCAAAAGAGCTTGGCCAGAATCTAACAGAACCACATTGTCTTGATCCATTTCAAATTTTGGGAAGCAGAAAAATGTGAATGTAGAGTGAGAAAGTAACACTTGATGTGGGGACAAAAGATGATGAGAATTATTTATAATAGTTTGGAGTTTATAAGATGTATTATTATTATTAGGATTGCTATGTTTCTTTCTCAAGATTTGATAACATAGACTAGTCAATTTTGTCGTTTGAACCAGACAATTTTATTCCTTTCACACACAAAACTTCGTTGAAAATTTTGCATCCATGCTTTTGGATATATCTCTGACTGATGTGGATGTACCAATGACACATCGGCATAGGCCACAAAATTCAAAGTTTTTATAGTATTATAAAATTTTAACAAAATCTGTTCATTAGTAATAACTTGTCTAATTATTGTTAATGTCAGGATAAAAATCCTCTCCATGCGCATCTCATTAGAAGGTGTCCAGTGGTAGGCCATTTGGCTGATGTGGCAAAGGTAGTAAAATGGGTAGGTACTGTAGTTTTTCTTATATCATTTATATACATACTTGTTTATAATACTCCGTATCTTCTACCCTTTCTGTACATAATGCATCATTTCAATTTCAATTTGAAATTCCCCCTAAAACGAAAATTGAGCTTGCCCCCAAAACTACCATATGTATATTGATTCTGAAATATCCCTCTCTCTAACATCCAAACTGAACTCCTTCATCAAGTGCAACCGAGAAACAAGGCAACCAAGACATAAAGATAAAGATTTTGGAGAAGAAGAAGCTGAATGAGGACGTTTTCTGAAAAGTAAAGGATCCCCTGTTCAAAGAAGCTCCGAGAAAGGGAATCTGATGTTTTCTGGAAGGCAAAGGATCTCCCTGTTCAAAGAAGCTCTAAGAAGGAGAGATTCCCCAAAAAAATTTCAATCCGGCGAAAAGCTGAAGCTCCGATCATCCAATCCGGCGAGAAGCTGAAGCTCCGATCATCCAGTCCGGCGTAATTTATACATCTTCTTTATGCACGTATTATTGCATCTTTCCAAAATCGTATTTGATTTTCAATTTTCAATTTCTCCCCAAAAGGAAAATTGACATTCCCTCAAAACTCTACTATATATATACAATGCCTGAAATACCGAATAGGAAATTCCTCTCTGAAATTTGAGATTTGGTAAAGAAACTCTCCCCAAAACTCTGTTATTTATGTTTATGTGTAAAAAACTTTCTTGGTGAAGGTCGAAAAGGCATAGCAAACAAAAGGAGATCTAGTCGGAAAAATCACCATATATTCCGGCAATAAGCTAAAATTTCTTAAAAGGAGAGATTCCCACAAATTATTTCTGATAGTCCGGCGAGAAGCTGAAGTTCCGATCATTATGAGTATTAGGTTGTTATTTTGAATTTATTGTAACTTTGATAAGTTATTGGAGTGCATATAGATTTCTCTCCCTCGTCAGAAACTCTCCCACCCTCAATTTCCTTCATTTTTTTCTTTTTCTTTTACCTTAAATTCAAGGCTTGATCTAGCCTTACCCTTTGTGAATTTGATAGTACTTCTTAAGGCAATGTTGGAGAGCTCGTTGAGGCCGTTATTTTGATCAGAGCAAAGTTCAATTTGGTCACTGACGAGGCTGCTTGATGTACGCCAAAATAATGTAGTGAATGTGCGGTTCAAGAAAAGCCTTTTGGGTCAAGTTTAAATTTATAAAGACCACTATCACCACTACTACTAACGTAGCAAGAGTGAGTAGGAATCGTCCCACGGGATTATACGTATTGGAATTTAACTTTGACTCTAGCGTATCATAAGATTTCAAAGAGATTTGATGAGATGATTAAACTACTTCAATTAATGAAAATACAATTAAAATTAAACGAAGTTGAGATAGGGATTTAAGAGATTCGAAGGGAGGACTTAGGGTGTTGGAATCACCACTAAGTTCATGCAATTAACCACTTGCTTTCCATTAATGGGGAATACATTGTTGTGAACAAAATGCGTCTACCAATTGCAATATTAAGCATGAACCATCTAATTTATGTATGAATTGTCTACCTAAACTAAGTATAGCACAACCCATCAATTTTAAGCATGACCCATCTAAGTAGCAACAATTGTAGCACACATCAATCTAGAGAATCATGGAATTTGCTGTTGTTGGTTTCCTTGATGGAGTCGCCACAACCAACAAAGCTTGAAGAGTTGTGAATTTAGGAGGTGGCTAAGTTTTACATTTAGAGAAAGCCACTACTACCTTTCTCTATATAAAATATAGATAGGGCGAGTAGGGATCGTCCCAAGGGATTTGATGGTGTATCGAATTGTGAAACTATGGTAATTAGGGTTAGTAGGTCGAGTGATCATACAATTGATTGGTTGGTTGATTATACTAAATAAGCTAAACTATAATAAAGCAATGCAATAAGATAAAGAGTAAGTAAGAAGGAAAGGTCTTGGGGTGTAGAGATCACCACCAAACAATACTATTCCAAACCATAATCAAGTGACTAATGAGGGAAATGAATGTGTTGCATCAATGTTGTGTGTGTAAAAGACATTCAATTGGTAAGGGTGACTCAACAAGTGCAAATTGTCTCAATCAACATGTGTGAGGCCACAATACATCTATTGGTAGAGGAATATATTGTCTAAACATCATGTGAAGATAACAAAATAACAATTCAAGTCATTGAACCTTTCATTAAGCTCGTAGTCCAAGCAATCCATAAGGATGATTTAGTTAAACATGCATTATCTAAACATCATGTGAGAGGTACAAAATATCTATTGGGAGAGGAATAAATTGTCTAAACACATGTGAAAGATACAACATATCATAACTAGTCAAAATTCCATTACACCACAGTATTAGAGCATATGCTTCTTGCATTCAAAAGCATGGAACATCAAAGAACAAGCATGAATTGTTTCCCCAACTAACACTACACTACTTAAAAGAGAAGTACAATCCATCAAGGAATAAGTATGAACCATCTAGAGACATAACAAGAGCATTACATTAAGAACTTCATATTTTGATAATCTCAAGATTAAAGGCATTAATACACATAGACATGCATCAATAACATTAAATCTAGAGGTGAGCATCTACTCTAGCATACATAGACATATAGATAGAGAAAATGATCAATTAGAAGCATTAATCCATAGATATCAATGAATAATTAAGATCTTCATAAGTTCAAGAGTCAAAATATGCATTACAACACAAATCCCTCAAAATTACACAA